TATTATCCGTTACGTTGTTGGTCAGTGTAGAAGTGACCCCTCACATTGGGGGGTAAGTGAAGAAGGACCCCTTACATTGGGGCTCATTGTAGAAGTGACCCCTTACATTGGGGGTAAGTGTAGAAGGACCCCTTACATTGGGGGTCAATGTAGAAGTGACCCGTTACGTTGGTGGTCAGTGTAGAAGTGACCCGTTACGTAAGTGGTCAGTGTAGAAGTGACCCCTTACATTGGGGGTCAATGTAGAAATGATCCCTTACAGTGGTGGTCAGTGTAGAAGTGACCCCTTACATTGGGGGTCAGTGTAGAAGGACCCCTTACATTGGGGGTCAATGTAGAAGTGACCCGTTACGTTGGTGGTCAGTGTAGAAGTGATACCTTGTGTTGGTGGTCAGTGTAGAAGTGATCCCTTACATTGGGGGTCAGTTTAGGCAGAAGATCAATCGCCACTGCTTTCTCCTCAAGAGGCATCACATAAGGTAAGTGCTTTCAGTAGAAAGGGGGGATAATATTTTTACCTTTTAATGTCACTTTAATATATAAACACTTACTTGATAGCTTCATACACAGTTCCTGGTGGCTGAATTTAAATAGTTACTTTTTAATGAAAAGGCTGCAGGCAGACACTCCATTTGTAGCGGAGCAGTACAGACTAAACGCACATAAAAAGCAGCTGTGCTGCGGGTTATGAAAACCTTGAGACGCGACCATTATTTCTTTTTCCCTATACAAATAATCCAGGAGAAAATGACATGATACTGTTACATTGTTTTTGTGAAATTGATTTCCTTTGCGGGCAGAGGATGTAAATAAATAGATTTTATGTGCTAGAAAGAGCGGACCAGCAGAATGAGAAAGACAGTCATTTGTAATTTGTGTATGTGCTGATGTAACTCATCTGGAAATGACAGAGAGAGGGAGGAGAAGAGAGAGTCACAGAGCGGGCAAGAGATGAGAGATGGAGGCAGCAAAAGAGAGAGAGAGCAGAGGGACATTATAAGGAGGAGGACAAGGACCATTCATCAATAAATGTGCACCTGTTACCTGCACACATATAACCCAGCCATTTTGTTAACCTAAAATATATTCATGAGGATGCAGCTTTAACAGTTCCATTGTGCCAGAAAAGGTCAGATTAAAGGGAAACTGTGATGTACTTTTTGATGAGCACATTTTTTTTGCATATACACCAATCAGCCATAACATTATGACCACTGACAGGTGAAGTGAATAACAATGATTGTCTTATTACAATGGCAGCCAGACCTACCAAAAGTGGTCCAGTGAAGGAAACCGGTGAACCGGTGGCAGGGTCATGGGCAGCCATGGCTCACTGATGTACAGGCTGGCCCATGTAGTCTGATCCAATAGAAAAGCTGCTGTAGCTCAAATTGCTGAAATGCTTGTTCCGATAGAAAGGTGTCTGAACACACAGTGTATCACAGTTTGTTGCATATGGGGCTGCATAGGTACAGACCGGTCAGGGTGCCCATGCTAACCCATGTCCACCTTCACAATGCAATGGGAAGGTGATCATCAGAACTGGACCACCGAGTAATGGAAGAAGGTGGCCTGGTCTGATTAATCACATGGATGGCTGGGTTCTTATATGTCACTTACCTGGGTAGGGGTGACAGGATGCACTAAGAGAAAAAGGCAAGCCAGCAGAGGCAGTGTGATGCATTGGGCAATGTTCTGCTGGAAAACCTTGGGCTCTGCCATTCATGTGGATGTTACTTTGACACGTACCACCGACCTAAACATTGTTGCTGACCAAGTACACCCCTTCATGGAAACGGAATTCCCTGATGGCAGTGGCTTTTTTTTAGAAGGATAATGCGCCCTGCCACACTGCAAAAATGGTTCAAGAATGGTTTGAGGAACACAACTACGAGTTCATGGCCTCCAATTCTCCAGATCTCAATCTGGAAAAACAAATCCGATCCATGGAGGCCCCACTTCAAGTCAGTCTTTAGAGTATGTGCATTAACCACCGCACAGTGGCCAATCTGCAAAGTATACACATTAACAGCTTGGGGATCAGTCTCCAGGGCATGTACATTAACCCACACAAGCTTAGTCTCCAAAGTATGCACAATAACACATCAATGACCAGTCTCCAGAGTATAGGAATTTCCCTCCGAATCCAATCTGCAAAATATGTGCAATACCTTCAGTTACCAGTCTGCAGAGTATGCGCATTAAATCACCAATGATAAGTCTGCAGAGTATCTGCATGCCATTAACCCACCAGTGACCAATCTGCAGAGTATGTGCATTAACCCACCAGTGATCAGTCTTCAGAGCTTGTGCCTTAACCCCTCAGGGGTCATTCTCCAACATATGTGCATTGGTGCCTTAGGAACCAGTCTCCAAAATATATGCACCGAACCCTCAGTAGGTAGTCTACAGAAAAGGTGCAATAAGCTGTATGTGGCCTGAATCTATCGAATTTTGCTGTTTGCATGGAGTTCCACTTTAACACTGTGAAGATATGTAGTTATAAGCACTTTGAAAATCTCCTTGACTAATGATAACCTCCATCATTTTAATCATCAGACTTAAGGCTTTGCCCCTGAATAACACATAGCAAGTAACGTACTATGTAACAGACACACTTGCTGGTCTTTGTTAGTTACTTTATTGAAATTTGTTTAAATTCTGTCAAACATTTTAAATAAGGGGGAAGTGGAACTTAGCCCCTGCGTGTCACAAAATCATTTTTCCTGGAAATCCCTAAAATATATATACATATATTATAAAACATGCCAGCTTTCATTTAGGTATTGTACATGTATGCACATGGAATTAAATTACTGAAATGCAGTCACAAATCAAATAAATCTATAAAAACTGTTAATGCCATGCACGAAATCCGGGAAATGTGCTAAATTAAGACATTTCCCATATTTAATATAATCCGTTCCTTGTATCATTTTATCTGTATTCAGCAGACCTTTCAGTATGACTCTGGGCCAACCTCTTGCTCATGCTACAATATATGTAATTGAGGCTTCATTGGACTGGAGAGGGGTGTAGTGCAAGATTAGCCCTTGCCTCTTTATCTTCTCCGAAGAAGGGAATGCAAGCTGATATAGGCATTTAGCTGGGACAGGTGTAACAGATAAATGCCATGCTAAAAACTAGTGACCATTACCAGGAATGTTGTGTCTATGATTCACAGAAATGTTAATTTTTTGGGGGAGAGTGACTTTGTATTACAGAACTTGCATACATATTACTGTCCATTGCTGTCCACATCTTTTGCTCCCTCTAGAGGTCTCGTAAAGACATTGCATCACTCAAGTCAGTATTCTTGGCTCATACATTATCTTATTGTCCACTTTGAGACTTTTGTATTTCTTACAAGGCAGTGTTGTACTCATAACGGATATGATGAATATTTGTACTCTGCATAATGAACTCCATTTACTATTTTCTTTGGAACAAAATGCCGCAGCCCGTCAGCAAAAAAATTCCAATTGGGAATATTGGTTTCCCCTTCATGACATAATTTTTGTCACGGCTGTATCGAGTTGCATTCAATAAATGAAGAAATGGACAGTGGCCACGGTAAACAGTCCCACTCCAAGAGCAACAATGACACAAACACAAGAGATAAGATGTTCGCCAAGCAAGCTGTCCTTGCTTGGCGAAAAAATTATTTAAAAAAAATAATAATCCCATCTTCTCCAGCCCCACATGTCAGCCATGTTCTAAAGGGAACCTGTTTACATAGACTTTGAATTTTAAAACCTGCACTAGAAAAAATTATTGATCAACAACGGAATGTGTAACAAGAACACTTCCTTTGACCACACTTTTCCGAACTCTTGATGAGGGATATTTATCAATTCCACTGCACAGTGCAAAACAATGGCAATGAGACAGATACTGTATAAGACAGATTTCATTTAAGATTGCAGCTTGATTCATAAATTCCTCACTCTGCTACTCTTTTACCATGAGAATCAGTTGAAATCACTAAGTCAAAATCAAGCCACACACTACATCATACTAACTTACAACTTAAACATAGAAGAATGGGAAAGCTCCAATTACATTATGGCACCTTAGATTTAAAGTGACAATAAACTCAAGATTTGAACCTTAAAAATGCATTCAAGTCCATTAACTATGAACAAAAATGTTTCTTATTTGTGTATCACTTGGCTGTAGATCCTCAAATCATCTCTAAATTGGTGCCAGCACTGTCCTTCCTTCTGGAAGGTGGCTACTTTTTTTCCCCATGGTCCCCGTGTGTGTTGTAAAGTAGCCACCGCTCCCAGCTTGCTCCCGTGATGGACTACAATCTCACGTTTAGTTTACCAATTTGTATTGAGATTGTAGCACATCACGGGAGCGAGCTTGGAGCGGTGGCTACTTTACAACACACACAGGGACCATGGGGAACAAAAGTAGCCCCCCTCCAGAAGGAAGGACAGTGTCAGCACCAATGCAGAGATGATTTGAGGATCTACAGCCGAGTGATACACAAATAAGAAACATTTTTGTTAATAGTTCAGATACTTGAATGCATTTTAAGATTTAACTCCTGAGTTTAGTGTCACTTTAAGTCAAGACCCCTCTAAATAATTGGCACCACAATACACTGCACCACATAAGTGTAATTGGGTCCTGATGCCCATCAAATACATTAGTAGGCGGCAATATACAATGGATCCAAAGTCCTATTAACAAATACTCTGATAACACAAGATAAACAAATGATGACCAGCTCAATACAAGCCTAGCACTACAGATTAGTACATAAAACTTAAGTAACACATAAATACCAGCAGTGATAATCAGCTCTGTGTTACTCTATATTGAATGCCCACCGGCAAAACACAGGCAAGGTTAACTAGTCAGCATTAAACCTGCACCATCAACAGCTGTGCATGCAGCATAAACATTCACCTAACAGTAAATGAGACATCACAGCTGAAGAAAGCAGAGATGAAGTCAGTTTAAGTATATTATAGGACCATGTTGTTTACCTGCCTCAGGCGAGTTTCGCATCATTGACCAAGGGGTTGTGCTGCCAGCAGTGGAAGAGGCAAGGGCATGCTGGGCCCTCCAGGCTAACGGGTATGGAGCTGCAATAAAGGAAAATAAATGAGAGCTATCTACGCACATAAAGTTTTACTACATCTTATTAAACAACTCCACAAAGCATTATTTGCATTTAATCTGGCCATGTTACATAACCCAAATGGGATTTTAGGAAAACAGTTTTTTCTGTGAGAAAAATAAAAAACATACAGCTAATGTGGTTCCTCTGGTTTCAACAGTCAGACACACGTGAAAGAATACAAATAAAACAGGGTCTGGCACTGGCCACCTCCTCTGAAGCGAATATGCATCAGGAGGAAAGTTCCCATGTGAAAACAGATGATACCCCATTATGTTCTGTGTAAAATTATAGCATGGTGTAGGACACTGGTAAAGCCTTTGAGGGTGTTGAGTGCTGAACTAAATATTGGTTGATCTTGCAATGCAACAAAGGAGGTAAAATTGGATATATTTAATGGTTCAACATCTCCTCAAATAAAATCCAACTTTTCAAATAGTTGGAGACAGGAGTTTCATTGACTAAAGCTTCAGAAATAACTCCACTCCAAATTATGTAGTTCATATAACTGTTACATGAGCCATTTTGTAATTTAATGTCATTAAAATTACATTAATATCTCAATCTTCAGCTAGCCAGCCTGTCAGGAACCAGAGCAGCTGCTGTCAGCACTGTGGCCCTCGGACCTGAAGCATGTAGTTCCAGTTTTTTAGCCCCTCCTCAGGAAGTTCTCTATGCCTTCCTGTGTGCCCATTTTGCTTCTTGCTGTTTCTGGAATCCTGCAATCCTGATACTGATCCTTCTTCCTGCCTGACCCTGTGATCTGGCTGCTACACCTGCTCCATGTATCCCTCCCCCTTCCTGCCTGGCCCTGCTGTACCGAATTCTCTTTTATCCTCCAGGTGTAGATATAGGTTGTATATTGTTAGTGTAGTGTTTGCATGCTGAACTTGTTTTAGGTGTGTATATGTTGCTTTTAACCTGTGTTGGTTCACAATAAACCTTGTTGTTTTTATACTTAGCTTTGGGTCCAGTCTTTGTTGTGCAATACATATATTTAGTCACACCTGTGGTCTTCTCATTTGAAACTGCTTAATTGAAAACATGGCATCAGTGGTCTGTAGAGAGGACATCCCAAAATTCCTAACCCTCCTCAAGGCATTGGTTCACTGTTTTCCACAGAAGTCTGAAAAGACCTTGATGTAAACTTTCAGGTCCCACCAACAATACCTTTAGATTTACTGCAGCTTACTTGCAAAGGGTAGTATGGCTAGAGGGTTTCAGGGTTGAAAGTTTCTTACAACACTAGTACTGATCCCAGTGTGTATGCATGCTCCTTATATGTATATAAAGCCAAAACTTTTTCTTAGGGGGTTGTTCACTAAAGAGCCAAAGGATCCAGCCGTCGCTTCGGCTGAACCTTCGGCTTTCTTCGGCCGTCGGAGCCCTTCGGTTCAGTTGAACTGAAGGGCTGCTGTATGGGCTATTCACTATAGCCCGTACAGCAGCCGAAGGTACCAAGCAGAATAGCCGAGCTGAATGCTGCTTGGCGGAAATCGGCTAGCGAGTGAGCTGCCATAGCTTCGGCAAAGCTGATCCAGATGTTGGATCGGCTGAGTCGTAGTCCCTCTGTACTTCGGCTCTGCCGAACAGCCGATCTACGGCTGATTCCAGCTGATGTACGGCTGAAATCAGCCTTTGTCAGGGTACCCTGCGCGGGTGTCCCCACACCGCATGCAGGTACCCACGCAGGAGGACCAAATTAGTATGACCACACCACACTAGACACTGCAACTGAGCTTATATGTTTATTGATAACATTCCTATCATGATGTCAAGATGTGGTTGAGATATGGCAATGATACCTTAATGGTTTGCTCCAGAACAAAAGGTAAATTAGAATTTTTCTTGAATTGTCTTAATGGGAGTTCTGTGAATATGTATGACTGCAGAATTTATAGGTTCAGAAGTAACCTTATCTGCTGATTAAAATCTTGGGTAAAGTCACAGCTACAGAAGAAAACAGCAAATCCACTCCTACACAGTCCTAACACTTGCCTATTGATTAAATCCATTCTTGAGGCTGTGGTGGCAGAGCAGGAGAGACTGTGACTTTATACAAGCAGTTGAACTAGGTAATAGGGAATGTTATGCCAGTATCACCCTCTCAGTAGAGTAGAGCTCCAACCTAGGCAATTTTTCTAGTTCAAGATAGCCTGGGGAAGGGTTAGAGCCTCTATCAAGGATTTTTGTGCCCCCACTCGAGAGATTCCTCGCACGTCCTGTCCTTAGGCACAACAGGAAGTGAGAGCAAATCTCTTTCAAAGTGGGGGTAAATTCCACCTATGAAAGTTATCAGTAGAACATAAGTATCCCAGATGAATGATTTCTCCTCTATTTCCTATCACTTTTTGTCTTGGTAATAATGATCATAAAGACAGAAAGTGGACAGGAAGTGAAATTGTCCCCTCTCTTTTTTTTGGTGTGAGTTGCCTTTTAAACTGCAGCAAATATTCTTGCCAGTCCCCTGACACATTTTGGGCTGAAAGTCCTTATTTGTAGCTAACTAGGAAACAGCAAGGGGGTTATGCAGAGAGCAATATCCACTAGGTCTATCTAAAGTCATAAACCACAGCAGATCAATTCATTTGGCAGAAGCGCAAACAGAAGACAAACAAGACTGCTTTGTCTCTTCATTATGTTTCTCTCCCATGGCCTGTAAACTTAGACAGACCATCTATCGATAGTGTCAAATTATCCAATAGGTTAGTAAATGAGCTGAAAGAGCAAAAGACCATTAATTGTGTTTTGTGGCTGCAAAATAACACTGGACTACTTGGGTCAGAGTGAGTTTTGGAATGAAAGACCAAAAATGTGGTGGACTGGTTTGGTCCCTGAAGGCAGTTATAAGTGTGAGAACCTTTGTCCAAATCTTATAAAGGTAGAAGTCACTGGTGGGTTTCTACACCATGTACAGAATGTTATTACATACAGAAGTATGTTGTTTATGCTATTTACTAGATTGGGAAATAGCCAATAAATGATAGGAACATGTGTGTTCCATTGCTACGAGCATGGGAGCTACTTGTCTCATTACCCAAGTCCATAAGATGCATTAGAGAAACAGAAAATGACTCTCCTTGGCAGGCTTGGTGGTAATTCCTGTTGTGGATAGAGGTGGAAATTATGAGAATATTTTCCTGTCTGCCAGTGACAGTTCCCTTGGGTCTTAATGAAGCCCTAATTGAGTATAATGTGTATAGGTATACGGTGGTTGCATTTTCTTTCTTTAGTGTGCTATAGCCTCTTTAGTTTGTTGGTTCAGTAATTCTAATTTTCTTATTTTGCTGGGGAATGTTTATTACATCTATGTATCATCGTGCAGTGTTCTTGAAATGGTAAATGGTAAAATTCCAGGCAAACAGCTAAACACAACACATACAAATACGTATATTTTCATAGCCAAAGGATTTGTAATTGTGCTCAGACAATCGTGTGCCTTACACTCCTCCCAAATACATACCCTGTTTGATGTTGCAGGGGTCTGAACAGATAACCAAAGATTATTATTATTTGAGGACACCTGACCATCATACCTACTTATATGGCCAAAGGTATGTGACACCCCAGCACTTTAAATCATTGAGTTCAGGGGGAGGTCTTTTTTTGTTCCCGTATGACTATAAGGTAAAGACGACAGTCATGCATGGAACTGGACGGAAATATGCCGTGGTGCGTGTGCGCGCACAGCCGGAAATAGGCAGAAAAACGCACAAACAGCAGGCGCACAGGAAGTGACACAACAGGCATTAAGGAAATTACCTATTTAAATGAGCCTGCTCTGCTCACTGTGCTGATGGTCTTTCAGATGTGTGTGTTTGTTGCCTGTGCCCGTGATCCTGTTGAAGACTTTGCCTGTGACTCGGATTGTTTAGACATCTCTTGATTGCTGCCTGCCCCTGACCTCGACCTGTATCCTGGATTTGTTTATTGCCTCACGATTTTGTACCATGCTGCCTGGCTGACTCTGATTCTCGGCTATCCTTGACTCCGTTCCTGCTTCCTGAATTGGCTGATCCGCTCCTGGACTTTCCTGCACCTGATTCCACCTGTGGCACTCATGCTCCTTGCTGTCCTTTCACACCCTTTTCTCACCTCCAGGGGCTGTAGGACGTGAGAAGTAGGAGAAGCCTCCTCAACTATCGGTCTCTCACCAGGTACGTGATAATAACTGTTCTCCTGTGCCCAAACCCATCACTGTAAAGGCATGGTTTAATGAGTCTGGTGTGGAGGAACTGAAGTGGCCTGCAGAGTCCTGACCTTAACTCTACTGCACATCTTGGAGATGATTTGGAACACCAATTGCAACCTAGCTCTTCTCATCCAACATAAGTACTTGACTTCATGAATGCTCTTTTAGTTAATAAACCACACAGAGGCTTTTATAGCTATAAAGTGGAGACCAACTCCATATTAAAGTACTTCTAATCTCAAAACCAAAAATGCTATATATTTCATCTTACCGATCCTTAAATTTGGTGGCTGCATTCGTTTTCCATTTTTAGTCTTTTGTGCTACCTTTTTCACCTGTTGATCCAGACAGTACGTTTGTTATTTTTTCAACTTCCTTTAACAAACCAAGATGTCTAGCAAAAGTGTCAGCTAGAGGGTTGAGACAAACACTATTTAACACTGACAGGGGTCATTACAAGCTTTTATTCATTTATGTTAAACCTTTATCCCAAAAGGAAAAAATAAGATGTTGCTGTAACTGCTTAAAACGTATTTTCTGGAGTTTGGATTTAATTCGTTAGTCAAGTCCATCTAAACCTGCTTGCCCATCTAATTTACTAACGCATCTAAAGGTGCCCATACACCTTACAATTATCTGCAGATTTTCTGTGGTCAGATGGAAAAAGTGAAACAGATTGGCCCAGGAGGAGATTTCTCCATCCACACAGTTAAGTGTAGATGGAGGAATCTGTTGCACCTTTTCCATCTGACCACAGAAAATCTGCAGATAAT